AACAACGAGCGATTCAGTAGTTCAACAAGTTCGAATTACATTTTAATGTATTATTTCTGAAAGTCTTCACCAATCTTCATTAATCGAGCGATTAATTATCTGGAATTAGCTAATAGAAACAATACTCAAAGCCGGCGACTCACCCAGAATATTATGAAAGCTTTTCCACGTCTGATATCCACCGTAAAGTAGACCAGAATAGCGATTAGCAGAAACAGGTAGCATCCAAGATCGGCGAAGAAGAATATCCACAATAACGTTTTGTACTAAAACTCGAATTCTATAATGCCTTTGCAATAATATAAAGAAATGTCATACAGATCGCTTTCCAGTAAATGATAGTACAGTAATAAAAGCAAATGAGATCGAAATAATGTAATTATAATGTTTGATGAAGACGGAGTCGTGAAAAAACTAAAATATTGAATGAGGAATATTAAAGACTACATAAGGAATATTGAAGATTACATAGGTCGTAAAATAAAAATCGTAATTGGGAATATTGAATGATTACAACGAATTTGATCACATCGCTTGAAAACAACCTCCGTGGAGGTATTTAGAAATGTATTTAAATAATAACAAATGATTATTCCACAACATAAAAACAATCTCACTAATGAAAATATATAACTAAGTCCAATAATAAAACAATAATAATGTATAAAAACGATAACGATACCAAATAACGATTACAAAACAAACTCACCATTCGTTGTTCGGCAAGTGCGCTAAGCTCCTTTTCAGAAAGTTCATATAATCCCAGTTGATGATTATAATTAATTTTACTAATTGCGATAGTTTTATCTAAATAATCCACCAATTCTTCATATAACGGTTTATCTTTAACCAAATAAACGCCAAGAGTACACACCGAAATCAGCACCGTCACACACAGTATCACACATAACAATGCGGCTAATGATTCTCGCCATGTTGCATGCGCCTGAAATATTTTCGACAAATTAAAATATTTAAGATTTCCAAGAGTCCCCTTCAAGACGCCCCACTGTACCCACATCTACTTACGAATTTGAGAAATACGGCCAATTGACAGTTGTCGAAACTGATAACAAATCGAATTTATCAGTAACTCTTTAAGGTGTTACCACATTCCAGTCACTTCTCCTGAACGACCAACAAAGGGCAGCAGACCAAAGGGCAAGAGATGAATCGTAAAAAATTGAAGGCTACTGCTCACGACAATTTGACGTGAAGTGAAAGTGGCATTAGAAAGGGATCATTAAGTTAGATTTCTTGGATGAATCAGTCACAGAATAAATTCTCATCATCTGCGAATAATTTGCGATCGGCTGCTTCTGAACAACTTTTCTCACGTTTGCAATTATCCGATTTGTTGAATCTCCAGGCAATTCCGCATTCGCATCATCAATGGTCATCATTCGACGACGCATTATGGGAAGAAAATTGCGACAATGACTGCGGAAAAAAACATCGAACCATAAAGGGGAACGGGTTGGGCAAAAACTGTAGTGAGGATGTAAAAATGACGCCAATCAGACGCAATGAATCGCGGTGACCGGTGGAAATTTGCTCGAAAAAATGTGATTCCTTTCGAAATTATCGCACAAAAAGCCGCAATTCATCACAAAGCGTAACAAATAATGACATTGCTACTCTCTTCTCTACTATCAGAGAATTTGAAAAAGTGAAACAAACAAACGAACGCATTTTCGATCAAATCGAATTCTCAACATTGCCCAAAAAAATGGAATTTTCCAAAAAAAAAACAAAAAATGAAAAAAAAAATGAAAAACCTGATTGTCGGATTGCCGAGTGGGTACTGGCAATAGACCGGCCACCATCCTCTTCTACACTGACAACTTCGTTTGAGTAGAAACTTCAGTTCGTGACCACTAAAATTATCACCAATATGAATTCTCAACAAGCTGTAATATGCCTTTGATGTGTCGCAATGTGAACAGTGTCAACGGTCATGTTCTCTTGCAAAGAGATGTTCAAATTTATCAAATGCTCGAATCACATGCGTAAAACAAACGAACACATAGAGCCAATAACGTCCGAGATGCGTCAACTATCACAAACAAACTCATTCAGTTCTCTTAAATCAAAAATAATCATTGATGATAGAAGTTTTACATAACGAATACAGTAACGAATTTGAGTACAATACTTGAAGAAAAGTTTAACACTGAATCGATCGCATACAAACTATTATCTCGAGATATATATTGTTCCCTAAATGGATGATAATATTACTAACAACGATAATCATAATAATATCAACAGTGATCAAATGAATATCATCAGATTTGCCTGTGATTGATAATTTTGCCCTTTCTATCTCTTATTGATAACTTCAATTGCATGTTCTACCAAAATAGAACAAAGTTGATAAGAACAGCAGCAACAGCACTAATAGAAAACGACAATATCAGTATGACAATGATAACAGTGATAATGATGATGATAATGAACTGTGAAGGTGATCATTTCATACTAAACGAACATTAATCAATAGTAATGAAGTGTGCTTTATTGATGTTCTGATTAAAGAAAGCAAATTCTTTGAACAAAGAAGTACAGATGGTGACAGCGCAGCGAGGTGATAGATAAATTTACGTTTGAAAAGAAAGCATTAATGCATGAGACATATTGTTGAATAAGGAATGCATGATCGGTTTGNACATAATGAAGACAATTATTTACACGAAGATGCTGGTGAAATTGCAAAATGAATAAAGTTTCTTGATTGAAAAGGCACATAATAATAGTAATAACGATAATCATAATAATAATAACAATAACAATTAATAATAAGACCCGAACTAACACAATTTCATCAGTAATAATAATGCAAATGTACTCATCGTATGTGTGGTGGTTTCAGTCTGTTGCATGACCTTCTCTTTTCATTGTCATTCTTATGATGACGAAACGAATGATTTTACAACAATTGGTTTTAACATGCAGTCGATTAGATTATGCTTTGAGTGAATTCATTGGATTGGTCTTGGAAGATTTAGTAACGTTTCAAATGGAAATAAATTTGAAATTTAGGTCGCGTAGAGGAACACAATGCCACGCTTTTGAACACAAGTTAATATGCATTAAGGTTGAAATGTTCATTTCGGATTTAGAAGATCTTCCAACATGATAACTTGAATAGATATCTCCCATGAGACAATATCGGTGTTGGCAAATTTGGAGACGTGAACCAAAGTTGACTGATATCGTTGTCACTGATCAATATAGATCATAACAGCACGGTTCAACGGTAATCAATAAGAACGGTTGAATTGCAGTAGGAAGAGTTTAGTGTCAAATGGGAATTTTGTTGTTCGAAAAAACAGGAACTGAAAACGATGAGACTGCTGTCATCGCATAATAAATCGCTTTGTATCTATTACTTAATCGCTCAGTATCTATTACAGTTCAGTTTAGAACAGCGATTGATAATCGTTCACAAGGGCGGCAGATTACTGTGAGGATCAATAGCGATAGATTCAATTTCACTCAACAAAGCAAATCAGTATGAATGCACTGAAAGATGTTGAAATAGATTACTATGCATGATCAAATGCAAATCCGTTTTGGTGATTAACCATTGGAGAATAATCGCTGAAATTGAAGATGAAGGAACAATCGTGCATCGCCGTTGAAGGAGGGAAATATGCAAGAATACGGAAATAAAACAATTAGTATTGCTTGACTACCTCTCAGATTAGAATATTGGAGGAATGGACCGAAAAAAATGGAATCGAAGAACCGGAAGAACATGAGATTTCGCAAATTAAAGAAGCCGGTTTCTTTTCGCTGACTGA